CCAACACCATTCATCTCTCACATCACCTTCTGTTGTTTCTGCTTCCCAAAATAGGCATGTTAATTTTCAGCCAAAAGATAGGGAGACTACATGATTCCACTCCTGGGAGGGGTGTGATAGGTGGATTGGACAGTGGGATACCCTACCTGTAGGTCTCCAGAACCAGTATCTTTGGATACAAGGTATCAGAGCCACCAGCCTTCAGGCTAATCCTTCATGTCACATGTGGGGAAACTGAGGCCTAGAGAGGATAAGTGGTTCATCTGCACTCATATGGCCCGTCCGCTGTTCCTGCCCTCACCTTGACCATCTCCTCCCCCATTTTACTGAAATCCCACCTGTTTGAAGTCTTCCTCCTCTGGGAGCTCATGATTATCACCCACACCATCTAAAACTGGTGATAATAATGCAATATCCTCACCCAGTGCCAGACACAGCACTGGGCACCTCTACACAAGCCATCCTGCCAAAGCCTCACCCAACCCCTTGAAGTAGGCCCTGCTGTTCCTTGCCATTTGCAGATGGGAGAACTGAGGCACTGAGAGTCAAAGTCTCTTGCCCAAAGTCACTCAGAGCCAGGATTTGGACCCATGACATCTGCATTCAAACCCCACTGGAGTTCTTGGGGCTCAGTGTCCCCAGCTCCAGCTCGGCCCAGCTTCCCCTGAGAGGAAGAGGGTGAACAAGACGTCACGGCCACCATCTGTCACCTCGATCACCCCATGTGAACCCAACATCCGAGGTTCCCATCTCGAGTTTATACACTGGGGTGTTAGCTGTGGGGAAATTGCCTACCAGTTTCTAAGTGAGACTGGCCCTACAGAACACACAAATATTTTCATTCTGTGAGCCGTTATTTCTGAAAAACAGAGGGGATCTCAGAACCTGTGGGGAGCAGGGCAGAGCATGGTGCTGGGGAGGGGGAGCCCCAGGAAAGAGGAGGAAGAGACAGAGAGGCTGTTCTACTCTGACCCCTCCCCACTCCTCCCTGTTCTCCAGCCCATATCTTTGAGGGTCTTACACCAGCAACCCCAGGGCTGAGTCTAGCTCAGAGCTCTGTTGTATTTGGCCCTGGACTATTTCTAATGGGGAGATTTTACATCAAATTCCAGGTGTCCAGCTTCTTTCAGAAGACTGGCAGATCTGCCACACTGGGTCCGCATTCTCCCACAGGAGCTAAGGACTAGCTGCCCCCTTTAGAGGAGCTGAGATTCTTCACTTTGCCCCAGTCATCACTATTCCCTGTTGCCTCCCACCCACCTACTTCATGCATTCCCAAAAGCTGGTCGGTCCCCCAGCTATGCAGATTTGCAACCCCTGCCCTATGCTCTGTCCCGGGACCCAGGATCTCAATCCCAAGATGACAGAACCCCTGAACCATGACCAAACTCCCAGAACTGAAGAACACCCACATTTTAACTGGTCACCCTGTAGACTCCAGAACATTTGAATCACAGACCTTCAGAAGACTCACCTCTCTCTGAATCGATCAAGATGGGCCCAGGAGATAGGCTGGCCCCAGCCTTGCTGAGCTTCTTCTAAATGAAGCCGTTGTTTACCAAACTTATAAAGACCCCCAGATATGAACAGACCACAGCAGGACCACTTCAGGACCTGTAGACCTTAGAACACCCTGGGATCCTCAGGTCCCACCCATCCTATTGAACTCCCCTATTATCAATATGGGGAAACTGAGGCTCAGAGAAAGGAACTGACTAGTCAAAGCCCAGCAAACTGCCATAACAGGCCAGTGGTGACTGGTCACAGCCCCTTTCTTCAGAGGCCCACCATTCTCCCCAGTTCTCCCTTCTTCCGTTTATCAAAACCCACTCCCAGGAAAAAGCCTAAAACTCATTCACACCATGGTGGCCAGAACTGATGATGGCTTCCCTCTTCCAGGGACTCTAAAGGAATTGGAGCTTTTATTTAAAGGAATGAGGCCCAAGTGGAATAATTTCAAACGCTGACTCTGGGTAGAACTGAACAAGGCAGGAAGACAAGGAACCTTCCCAAAGTTCTTAGAGTCGCACTGTATCATGCCTGCTTGCTCTCCAGAAGGCCACCCCAGCATAGAGGCAACATTGCCATGTGCTTAGGACAGGGCTGACTTGAGTTCTCAGGGCCCAGAAGCTACTCCAACATAGCAGACTGGTCTCATGACAGCCTCAGTTTTCCCATCTATAAAATGGGCATAACCTAGCTCTGGGATCCCTCATCCTTACTGCACAGGCAGGACATTGGATCTCCAGAGTTTACCTGTACTGCTAGGCTGGTGTGGGGTCTCCCCTGGAACAAGCCCCCCCCCCAGGCTTTCTCACAGGGTCTCAGCCAGGCTGGCTCTTGGATGCTCCCAACGGGGTCTTACTGTTAGCATCAGAGGAGGTTCAGTGCCTAGAGTCCAGACAGGGGACATGCCTGCCTCACTGGACCCCTGACCGTAGGCTATTGGACTCCCAGGACCACTGAACTCTCATGTCCATGAGCTTCTGGGCTGTTCCCTTCACATTACTCTCCCCATCACGCAGCACCCAGCACCAGGCTGGGCCCACCATGGAGGCCTGAGAAACACAGTTTGAATGAATGGATGGATGGCTGAGCTAATGAATGACTGTTAGAACTTTAGGACTATATGATATTAAACCACCAGACCCTCGGGGCACCCGGGTGGCTCAGTCGTTAAGCATCTGCCTTCGGCTTGGGTCATGATCCCAGGGTCCTGGGATTGAGCCCCAGCATCGGGCTCCCTACTCAGCAGGGGGTCTACATCTCCCTCTGCCCTTCCCCCTGCTCATGTTCTCTCTCTCTCTCTAATAAATAAATAAAAATAAAATGGTTTTTTTTTTTTTGTTCTGGGGATCCCTGCGGATTTGCCCTTCTCTGGAATAGACTGAGGCTAGAAGTCTGTTGGGGGTGTGCCTCCCCCCCAACCCCTCCACGCCCACTCTCCAGCTATCCTCATTAAGCCACAGGTGAGCTGGGGTTAGGCTGGGGTCAGGGACAGGACTGACATTGCCCACCCGTGGGGGCGCATTTGTGCTGAGTTTCTTGTGATGACACCCCATGTCAGGCTCAGAACACTTGGGCATGTCACCTGCATTCAGTGGGTAAGAGGATTCTAAGGTGGTTGGTGGCTTTAGCGCCAGGACCCGAGGGACAGGAAGCAGACCAGTCTTTGCCCCCAAGGCACCACGGCCCAGGTGGGACACAGATCCAGTGACCAGGTCAGCCCTGCTGCTGAAGGCCACCTAGGGGTGAGGGCAGGGAGCTGATGTCCGCTTGGGGCGGAGGACAGTGCTTGTCGGCAGAGGCACCCTAGAAGATGGAAGGCATGCCTCTTTGTGGCTCTCTGAACAGCATAAGCAAGGCAGGAAGGGTGCCAGGGCACTTGTGGAAAAAGTAAGGGTGACACCAGTGTCTTGGGGTGATACAGGGTAGCATCAAAGGAGGGAGAGAAGTAAGGAGAAGTGCTGGCCTCTGGAGGGGCCCAGTAGACAGTGAGGCTGGCCTCTCTCTGTCACACACCCGAATCCCACCATGATGGGTTGATCTTTCAGGCTCCTCTTCTAGGGCACAAAGGCACCCAGGGTGATTGGCCAAGCTTTTGGTTATTCACATCTTGGCGCCAATGAGTGTGGGAGAGTACTTACAGACAGGCAAATGGAGCTGGGTGGAGGGCAAGGGAAGGCTGCCCCTGACCAAATGTGTGGCAGGAGGAACGCACAAGCCAGGCCAGCAGAGGACTGGCCTGGTTTGGCCAGGGGTGGGCCACGTAGTGGAAATGCGCTACACACATGGCTTGGGGGTCAGATCAAGAGGCCGGAGCGCCAGGCTGGGAAACGTGGACTTTATTCTGGAGGTGGTGAGGAGCCTCCAAAAGTCGCTGAGCAGGGAGTGAGGATCGGATTGGTGAGGCAGGGAGAATTATCTGGAAGTGAAGAAACAGGGGGCTGGAAGCAACGATTGAGCATCTGCCACCCCCCAGGCACCACTTGAGCATGTCACATGTGTCCCCTGGAGGCCAGGTCCCCCAGGAGGGCGATCTGCCTGTCTCTCTCACTGCTCTATCCCAGTGTCTGAACAGTGCTGGGCATATAGTAGGTGCTCAACAAACACCAACCTCATGGATTATCTCATGAGATGCTCACGACCCCTAGCTGCAGTCACCATCCCCATCGCAGAGGAGGACACTGAGGCTCAGAGAGCTGGAGGCACAGGCTGGGTTTCGAACCAGGCAGAGGTTTCCGAGTCTGTGCTCAACGGGCAGGGCAGGAGGAAATGCAGAGCAGGAGCAAGGATGCGGTGCAAGGTGGGCCTGGTGGTGTGTATTTGCTTCCTGTGGCCGCCGTAACAAGTGACCACAAACTGGGTGGCTTTGAGCAAGAGCACTTTATTCTCTCATGGTTCCGGAGACCAGGAGTCTGGAAATCAGATGTCGGCAGGGCCGTGCTGCCTTCAAAGGCTCTAGAGGACATTCCCATCCTTGCTTCTTTGGGCTTCTTCGTGGTCTGGCATTGCTTGGCTCATGGCTGCCTCCTACCATCTCTACCTCCATCTTCACATGGCCTGTGCCCTCTGAGTCTGGGTCTTCTCCCTCTGTCTCTTAAAAGGACACTTGTCATTAGTTCTAGGGCCCACCTGCATAATCCAGGGCGATCTCATCCCAAGGTCCTTAACTTAATGACATCAGCAAAGACCGTTTTCGTAATGAAGGTCATATTCACATTTTCCAGGGATTAGGATGTGGACATATCATTTGGGGGGGGAGGGGGTGGTCACTATTCACCCCGCCGCATGGTGTCTCTGGCATTTCACAGGAGCCCACTGTGGGCCGGAAGCAAGTGTTGGGCGCCGGGCTCCTGGCTGGTACCTGCAAGTTTCCTGCTTTGTGTTCCCCCCTCTCTGTGCTTTGCCACGGGGCCGGCCCCCTTCGGGACAATTCCCGGGCACCCGAGCACCTCTCCCAGGCCTCCCAGGCCAACCTTTCTGCACTCTGTCCACAGGTTTGCCAGGCACCACTCCAGATCTGGAAAAGAGAAAGCAGATTTTCGGGCAAAACTTTATACCTCCAAAGAAGCCAAAAACCTTCCTGCAGCTGGTGTGGGAGGCACTGCAAGACGTGACGCTGATCATTCTGGAAATCGCAGCCATCATCTCCCTGGGGCTGTCCTTTTACCACCCACCTGGCGAGAGCAACGAAGGTAAGACCCCCCCCCCGCTCCCCACGCTGCAACAAGCTGCCCGGCCACACCTCAGGGCACCCGGGTGAGGGAACCGAGGCCCAGGGGGCAGGGCCTCAAGCCACAGCCCCCGGCCCCCAGTTTTCCCATGTGTGAGACGCAAGGATTGCACCAACAGTGGGAATAACTACAGTAAGCACTTATTGAGCACTTACAGTGTGTCGAGCTCTGGGCTGAGATGTCATCCTCCTAAAACCCCATGAGGTAAGGGCCATGATTATGCCCATTTTAAAGATGAGAAAAACAAGGTACAGAGAAGCGCGTTAACTTGCTCAAGGTCACTGAGTGGATGCTGTATCTGCTCCCGCCATGGGTGTGGCTGCCCCAGGCTTCCTCCACCCAGGCTCCTTCTTGGATTGCATCCTTTGCAGGTTGCATGAGAAGGACTCAGTATCCATCTGCCCCTCCTCTTTCACGGTCCCATCCCAGGGTTGGTTCAGTATCATGCACACACTCGTGTGGGGCTGATGCTGAGTATGTTTTCCCATGTGAGGAGTTCCGGTCTTGAGAGGGCCTCCCAAAATATGTCCCTGCATTCTGAATGGAGACACTGCTCTGTGGACCGAGGAAGCAGTGTCGTATTCATCCAGAGAGGGCTCTGCAGCAGACCCACACTTCTCGAAGTCAGAACTTAGGACTCCTAATGGAAAACCTCAACTTTCCCTCATCCTTTTATTCCAGAAACTGAGCACCTGCTAAGGGCTAGGGCTTTATCAACTCAATGACTCTTTCTTTTACGGTGGCAAAGTCTTTCAAACCTATGTCACGCGAGAGAGAGAGAGAGACAAAGAGAGACATACTATGGGATAAATGGGATCATACAAGATATATTGTTTTGTTAGATTTTTATAACGTGATTGTCATTAGTAGGACATTATAAACACTTGTTATTAATTAGGATTCAGCATTTTCCTAATGAATGCACTACATAAAGAGATAATCCTACTATGTTCATTACTTCAGGCAAGCAAATAAAAAGTGAATAGCTTAGAAGAAATAACCATCATGGGCCTCATTTCCCCAGACGAGGAGGTGGTCTCTGAAATTCCTTGAACATCTGTCCCCTCACCCTCTCCCAAGCCTGAGCTGCCCAAGAAATGAGATAAACAAGTCTATTAGGCCAACTACCTCAATTTTATAAGTAGTATTACTAAGTTGCTTTTTATCCTGCATAACCTCTTTCCAGAGAGGGTTTAAAGACACAAGAAGGACACATCTCACAAGATGAAGTCAAATAGGAAGTCAGACAGGAAAAAAATGGAAGCAAATGAAACAACTATACTCGCTACTATGATTGAGATTTAAATTTGACTGTGAGCTTCCTGGCAGCCAAGGCAGAAAGGGAATTGGATGACTTGCATAGCTCAAGCTATCCACAAGGAGGGAAAATGGTTCTTAGGAAGATAGCATGCCCCCTGACAGTGAATTCTGGGATGAACTTTCACTTAGGACATTATGAGAGCTGCATATTGGGAAGCAGTCTTTGCAGGAATTTCATAGAAAATGTAGAAGAAGATTATGCATGGCTATTTGAAAAAGCCTTGAACTAAGCTAAGGGTGCAACACACAAGCATAATAATAACGATAATTCTTCTTACAATTTTTATAGCCACCGCTAGTTGGGAGCGTTTACAGTAGAGACTCGTCTGATCTTCCCAACAACCCTGTGGGTAGGTGCTGTTATCATCCAGGAGCCAAGGCCCTGAGACAGTAAATGACTTGCTAGGTCACACTCTAGGAAGCAGCAGAACCATGACTCAGACCCAGACATTCTGGCTTCTGAGCCCACACTCCTATCCTTCGGCTGCATTTCCTCCAGAAGGGATGGGACTGAGTCAATGCCACCGGGTAAGTGGCTTCCTGTGACCCAGTTTAGTGCAAGACTAGAAGTCAGAGGGCAGATGGTAGAGGGGGTGCAGTGGGAGCACGGACCGAGCTCCTAGTGTGGGCCAGGAGGAGCCTCCCCACAGACAGGCCTCCAAACAGATGGCTACAACCTCTTCCATTCTAGAGAGGTGAAAACCAAGGCCCGGAAGGGGGAGGGACTTGCCCAAGGTCACACAGCTTGTTAGGCAGTAGGGCTGGATTTTAAACCCAAGTCTTCTGGTGCTTTCCACTGCCCTTCCCTGCTTCTAGCTGAGACACTAGCTCAGGCCAGGATCCGGGCAGCTGAGGGCAGCTGTACATATTCCAGCCCCACGGAGTGGAGTTCCTGCTCTCTGTGGTTATATGTACCCCCCAGTGCCCAGCCCCGGCCTGAGCTCTGAGTTCTGGACCTTCCATGCTGCCAGGACCACCGCTCTGCCAAGTCAGACTCAAGCTTCCTCAGTCATATCCAGAATGACGATAGTGATGGACTTAACAGGCTGTAGAACCTTACCACGCCCGCAGCCCTCTCCTGTTTGCTTTCGTGGCTCAGAGACCTCCAGATGCTTCTCAGAGGTCATACAGCATGTTCGTGGCACGCTAGGATTAGCACACTCGGTACTCCCAACTCCCTGCCCATGACAGGTCCCCTAGTGTCAGAGTGCCAGCCAAGTGACAGGCACATAGTAGGAGCTTGGAAGACGTTTGTGTCTCTTCCAGTTTTGAGGACCCTTCTTTGATGCCAGGCCCCAGTCACCATCTAGAAAGCAGCTTCCGCATTTTACTGATGGACAAGTAGAGATAGGCCCACAGAGGCCCAGCAGGTTCCCTGAGGTCAGACAGACAAAAGCCAAACCCTACAAACCCCCAGGTCCAGAGAGATAGCAGCTGCAGGCTCCCCAGTCCCTGTAACCACAATCTTCAGAACCTGTCCCTGCCCTGGTCTGAAAGGCCCCCCAGAGGAGACCTCAGCGGGGCCTGCTCAGAGCCCCCTTCCTTCCCCTTCCTTATCTCTTCTCCCCAACTGCACCAGGGGCAGAGGAGGTGTTCCCAGGGTCCAGCAGGTCCTGGCAGCTGAAGGCCTAAGCCAGCAATCCACAGCCCCACTTTCTGGCCATCCCAAGGTGCTATGTGACCATCAGGCAGTCGTCAGAAGGAAGTAAAAACTAATGGGCTTTTGCCGGCAGGGTGCCCTCAAGGACCCAAAGGGCTCTTTGGTATTGAATAGGCACAAGCAACAGGCAGGGTTGGGGATCAGGGGAACAGAGTGAATCCTGCTCAGCCACCATGCCCTTGGCTTCCAGAAGCCAGTCCAAGGAGAGTAGCTCATGAAAATGGAGAGAAGACCCACATTTATCGTGTATCCAATATATGCCAGGCCCTTACTGGGCTCTGGGCTCACAAAGTCATCCCACGTTACAGCTGTCCAAACTGAGACTCACAGAAGCCAAGTCACTTATCCACGGTCACACAGCAGAGCCTGGATTTGAAGTCAGGTCTTTACAGTTCTGGACTCCAAACGTGTTCCATGGTCCTGGGCTATCTCTAAGTGTCCTAAATGCTCCAGCAACTGCTGTAATCAGTAATGGGTTGGTGGGGGGTGGGGGCATCAATGAAGCATGCAACAGTCTTGGCATTTACAAAACATGTAGCAGAGGCAGAGAGTAACAAAAGTCCCATAAAGCAAAGCGCTGGGGCTCTGCATCTCAAGTCACTCCCCTAAAGCCCAAAAGAGCACATTTCCGTGGCCTGGGTGTCTGTTTAGCAAGGTTCACCTGAGTTTCCCAGTCTCTGGGGCTTCCACTGGTATCATTTGTGATGAAGGAAGAGCACCCTGGTTCCCCTCCCCCAGTCATCACATGGTGCTGACCTCCAGCTGGATGCCCAAGGCTCCCTTCCAGGCTAGCTGTGGAGCTCGAATGTATTTATGCACCCTATACACCGGGCAACAAAAAACAGCAGCTTTCACTCTGTGTGCTCAGCGAGGTGAGTGCCTTACGTAAATGCGCTCCCTCCGTTATCTCATCCACCAACGAGGGAGTGCCTGTCCTCACCCCATTTTGCAGATGAGGAAACTGAGGCACAGTGGGTAAGTAGCTAGGTCATAGGCGTGCGGCAGTGAAGTAGCACAGCTGGGATTCAAACCCAAGGCTGGCCTGGTGTCAGTTAGCATTAGCACAACGATGATGATCGTTAGCACTAAAGGCTGGTCCAGCTAAACAACTTAAAATTATGGAAACGTCTGGAATTCCAAAAGAATGACAGAGTGGCACCAAGGACCTGGTGCAATGAAGTGGTTGTTTACTAGCCTGCAAGGAGTGACTGGTTCAGTGAAAGCCATGGAATTTTTCAGGGACACATACTTCTGGGCCACATAGTTATGGACCGTCCCAAGCTTAGGCCCACCAGCTAGCCTTGACCTCCACTCCTCCAAGAGCTGGAAAACATTCCCTGACACCACTTGGCCTTTTTGTCATGTTGCTTTTGACCCCTGGCTTCCCAGAAGCTCCTGCGGGGGTCTCCCAAAACTGTTCTCTCTTCCTTGGGACTGAATTGGACTTCCCGACAGTCAGCCATGGGCCTTTGGCAATGTGAGGCCAGCACATGGCAGAGGAGGCCACTGGGCTCAGGGACAGTGGGCAGGCCACGTCCAGTGTCAGATTCCAGGCCTGGATTCAAACTCCAAATCTGCTGTGTGACCCCAAGTGAGTAGCCACCCCTCTGTGAACCACTTCTCTTGGCCAGCTTGAGAATTAAAATGACTCCCTGATGTAAGTGATTTGTAAATGATCCCATCCCCTGCCCAGCCGCCTTGAAAGGGAACCTCTCTGAGTTTTCCAGGGATGGAAAGTCAGATGCTGCTCAGGGTCACTTTCCATGGAGAAGGCTGTTCACCACCTTCTGGTGCTAAAAAGGGCCTGGGCTAGTCCTGGCTGCAGCACCCACCTTGGCTGTCCCCTCCCTTTCCTGAGCCTCAGTTTCCTCATCTGTAAGTGGAGGTAATGAATCTCCCCCCCCCCCCGGATCCTTGTGGGGATGCAGGAGACAGGGTGCATGGAGGAGTTTGGAGAGACCCTAGGACTCAGCACCCCATGGACAGGACCTGAGGCTTTTGTATCAGATGTGTCTGCTCTTTTCTTCTTCCATTCACAAGGTGGGCCTGGCAGGCCTCAAGCAGCCTGGGGAACCAGAGTGGGAGGCTCAACAGTGCAAGGGTGTGGGAGGCAGGGTCGCTATAGGACAGATAAGCAGCCCACAGCCTGGAGTGTGGGTGTCCTCGCTGTGCGTGGGGGGGGTTGCTTCATAAATGCCATGCCCTGAGCTCTGGCTGGGGCATTCACAGTCTTCTCCTGGAACCAGGAAGGAGATCTCAGTGACTCCCATTTTGCAAAGGTGGACACTGCGGCTCAGGGAGGACAGTGAGTTACCCAGGATTGTACAGGGGCAGTGGCAGGATTAGAACCAGCCTGTGGGACATCAGGCCTGGCACTGTGGTTCCTGCCCCCACCCTCCATCCCCCTGGACCTTCTGTCTGGAGACCTGTCTCACAGTTGCTGGAAGCGTGAAAGGAAAGCACATCAGCAAAACTGCCCTCTAGACCCTAAGGCACTTGCAGTACTGATTGCCTTCATTCTGTTACATCCTCACTTCTCTTTTCTCATGAATCAGGCCTCTCGCCCATGTTGGGAGCCACCATGGACCTCACCTCATTGAAGTTCAACCCTCCCAATAGGTCCCCCAGACAAAGAATATTCAGCCCTTTTTACAGAGGTGAAAACTGAGGCTCAAAAGATGAAATCATTTGCCCAAGATCTCACACCTAGAACAAAGGCAGGAAACCGGAGGGCTTACCACCCAGATGCATTGAATAAATTGGATCATGCTCATCTGATTATTGACATTTTTTTACTCGGCAGAGCAGGGATTTAAATCCAGACCTGTATGCTCCTCCTGCCTGGCTGACCCCACCCTGCCTGCTTCCTTCTGCTCTCTGCAGGATGTGCGACGGCCCAGGGTGGGGCAGAGGATGAAGGGGAGGCAGAGGCCGGCTGGATTGAGGGGGCGGCCATCCTCCTCTCGGTCATTTGTGTGGTCCTGGTCACAGCCTTCAATGACTGGAGCAAGGAGAAGCAGTTCCGGGGCCTGCAGAGCCGCATCGAGCAGGAGCAGAAGTTCACCGTGGTTCGGGCTGGCCAGGTGGTCCAGATCCCTGTGGCCGAGATTGTTGTTGGGGACATAGCCCAGGTCAAATATGGTGAGTGTCCCAGCCACAGGGCTGGGTGCTAGAGCTAGAGTCTGGGCAGAGGTGGGACAGGACAGGCAGACCCAGAGAGGCTGGCGCAGGGAAGGGGGCCGGTCCCTGAAGGCTAATCCTGAGCCAGGATGTCTTCTGAGATTCTTTGGGAAGTAGAAGGCTACTTCCTAGAGGAGGTAGGATTCCAGAATCCATTTAAAGTCAGAAATGGCAAATACAGGACACATGTGCTACCATCTCACAACCTGCACCTGTAGCAGACATTACTAATCAATCACAGCTCAGAGCCTAGAGACAGAAGTCTTCTCAACACAATACTGCAAGGACTGCTAACACTCAGAATGCGTTTATGAGGTGAAATCCATTTCCTGCATCTGATTGGGCTATTGATGGATGGTTGTCAGGCGGTGTCGAAGGGAGTGGATGTGGGTGAGCAAACATTCTAGGCCTGTGATGCTGCCATGGAGGAAGTGGTCAGGGTGTAGGCAAGGTATGTCCTGGGTAAGCAGAGGCAGAAGATGGGGGAGAGATTGCGGTGCCCTCTTCACGCTGCCTTAGGGAGCTTGGTTTCCTCTGATAATGTGCCTGTCTTCGGGTCCCCTCAGCAGTCAGGACAGACTCATCCCTTCCAAAATGATTTCCCAAACCATAGGTGAGACCAGAGAAGCATGAATCATTGAGAAAACTGGACCCCAAATCCACAGCAGGCCAAGAGAAGCACTTTATAAACAGAAGTACATGCCCACTCAAGCTAGGATTGTTCTTGGGCCCAGCCTCAGTCCTCCAGGCCTTGTGCCATTCCCCTTGGCTCCAGGCTTCAGCTGCCTATTGCCTGTGATGGGCACCATCTTAGTTCCCACACCCTGGGAGCTCGAGAAAGCAGGTGCCCAATGGTGAGCTTGACCTTGCAATCACACCTTTAAGGGAATGTTCCAAGACCCTCCAGCCACCTGACACCCTGCTGACTCTGTTGCCCTTCTTCCTACCAGGTGACCTCCTCCCTGCCGATGGCCTCTTCATCCAGGGCAATGACCTCAAGATTGATGAAAGCTCCCTGACGGGGGAATCTGACCAGGTGCGCAAGTCCGTGGACAAGGACCCCATGTTGCTATCAGGTGAGATGTGGCCCAATGGTGGGCTCACTCGCATTGCTGGTTCCTGCCTCTGTGCTTCCGGGGTGGAGGGGCACCTGTGTCCCCATCATGAGGCTGGAAATTCTCAGAGACTTTGTTCCTTGGCTCCAGACCCTTTCCCCCAACAAATGTACTTTGAGCCTACTGTGCACTCAGCATTGCGCTGGGCCCTGGGGATAGTACAGTAAATAAAATCGGCAAAGAATCCCTGCCCTCACAGAACTTACTTTCCAGTAAGCCTGTTCTTATCAGGGATAGGAAAGAATCCGTCAGGTGATCATTACTTTAGACACCTGCCATGTGCCAGGCACTGGGGCTGGGTGCTGGCGACACAGCAGGGAGAGAGACTGTTGAGACCACTGCCCGCAGAAGCTTGTGGTGTAGTGAGAAGAGACGGACACTGCGAAGACCCCAGAGGGTGGTAGGTATATGACGGAAATAAAGCAGAACAACGGGAGGCAGGTGGCTGGGGCGGTCAGGGGAGGCCAAGTTTGAGTTGCGTTGTGAATGAGGAGGGAGAGCTGGTTTTGTGGCTTTTGGGGGAAAACATGTACCAGGCAGAGGGAACAAGAAGGACAAAGGCCCTGAAGCAGGAAGATTGTGAGCAAAATGGAGAGGGTGGAGGGCCCAGATGTCAGGTCTCGTGGGCCATGGTCAGGAGTTTGGAAATTTTCTAAGCGCAATGAGGATCATCTGAAATAGTTTTCAGCAGTGAACTGGTCACATTTACATTTTTTAAATCTCCCTCTGACTGCTGCAGGGGAAAGAGAGGAGGCAGAAAGGCCTTGCAGCCCCAGCTGGATGAGACACCCCCCTAACAGAGACACACAAGGGGCCTCCTTGTCCAGCACTGCTCAGCAAACATCCCCTGAACAGCTGTTCTGGGCCAGGCCTTGTGCTGAGCACTGGGCCCATGATGACTCAGAGCCTCCCCCTGGCCTTGAGAGCCCCCAGCCCACAGAGGCTGGGGGGAGCAGACCTGCAAACAGCTAATTCCACAGTAGAGGAGTGAGGAAGAGGTGAGGAAGCCAAGAAAGGAACAGAACTACCCAAAGTGGAATTGAGCGGGGTTTTAAAGGGTGAGGAGAAGCTCACTAGAGGTGTGGAGAAAGGGCCTCTTAACAGAGGCAAATGTGTGCAAAGACACAGAGGCCTGAAGGAATAGGGGATGTCCTTGCAATACAAAGAGAAAGATCCACAGGTCTGCAGGGTAGGATGGTAGAAAGAAATGAGAATCAGCACTGGGGCATTTATTTATCCAAAACTTATTTGACCAACATTTATGAAGCTACTGTGTGATTGGTGGGACAAATAAGGTTCCTGCCATCCTGGAGCTTAGAACCTCGTAAAAAGAAACAGACAATAAAGGAACAAGAATGCAAATATGTAAATTTCAAATATGCAGATGAAGACATTAAACCATTATAATGAAATAGAGACTCTGAGGAAGGGAACAGGAATCGTGTTGGTCGGGGAAGGCCTGTCTGAGGAGGTTGAATTGGAGCTGAAACCAGCACAATGAGAAGAAAGAGCATTCCAGGTGGAGGGACTGCAAGTGCAAAGGCCCTGGGGTCTAAGAGATCATAGAAAGACTTGAATGCCTTCTTGGAACTCAGGGCCTCGTGAGGGTTCTGTAAATGGTCATGGCCCCGTGGCCCTGGTTCTGACCTCTGAGCTGAAGGACTTGGCAGAGAGGCAATCATCCCTGGGAGAAGTGGTCTGGTGGGTTATCTGGATCGGTGGAAGTCAGGTGGAGGCACTGAGCCTAAATGGATGGGTGACAAAGGTTCCAGACAGTTTGGAGAAGGGAGAGGAGGGGTAGGTTCCTTGCAGGAGGCTGAGGAAAGAAAGTGTTCAGAATCACTGACTCAGTGTACCCCAGACCAGCCGAGGAGATGGGCCCAGGGGCAAGGAGACTCTGGAAAAGACTCAGGCGGGGCAGAGATGCGTGGGAAGTCAGCTAGCCATCCCAAGTCAAACCAGATTTTTTGGTCTTTACCTACACTTCTACCTGGAAGCCCAGGTAGATAGTGTGGACCCTGGGCCTCTGGATGTCAGGAGACAACAGCCAGGGTCTCCTGAGATGTCCCTGTGGGCAAAAGAGAGCAGGATGTGCTAGAAGCTAGGAGATTCTGGTGGGTTTGTGCTGATTCTTGGATTGCTGGTAACCCAGTGGCCTTCCCTGGAGCCCTATCCTGTTTCAGTATGGAAAGTGTGCCCACCAACTTTGCAGAGACCATGAGTGCAGGGAGGATGGCAAAAAGAAAGCAAGAGGCAGGACCCACCAAGATCGCCAGAGTGCAGGGTGAGCTAGACTTAAGAAAGTGACCCTTGGCTGTGAACTGCAGCACTGGCGTTCAAAAGCACAATTGCATAGGGCTGGGAGGGGCAGGTGGCTTAGCCCCAGCTCCTGGAGAAGGGTGGGGGGGCGGGGAGAAGGGAGTAGAGTCAGCCCAATAGAAGGCAGTCTAATTGGAAAGAGAAGAATTCTGTAATAGGGCCATTCTAGGACAAAAGAGGCTGCCGAAAGGTAATGAGTGCCCGGTCACTGATTGTGTGTGAGCAGAGCCTCGACAGGCTGTGGGGTGCTGGGGGTGCTGTAGGGTAGACCCAAGCCCTGGATGGCCAGTGCATTCAACACCCTCCCAGGCACACAAGTCACAGATTCATCATACCCACCCCCACCCTGTACCTCTGCTGCAGATGCATCTTACTTTGTTCCCTCCGCCCTGCCCCTGCTGAGGCTGCTCCCTCCTCCTAGATGGCCTTCTCCCTTCCTTGTTACACATTTAACTCCTGTCCATCTGCTCAGGCCCCACCTCCTCCAAGAAGCCTTCTCTGCCCACTACTGCCTTTGGGCAGTCACCCCCAGACGCCTTGGGACACACATTTCACCCCATGACCCCCACACTGTGCTTGGCCCATTCGAGCACAGCCCCCTAATGTGGACTGAGTTTGGCTGAGTGAGAACCATCTCAGATAAAGTAAAGAGTTAAATGCATCCAGTCCTGCCTCCCAAAGAGATCTATTGGTCTCACTTGTACGGGCCCCGTCCATCCTTGGCCATATGCAGATGGACAGACACCATCATCATTGCGATGCACTTGTCCATGGGTCCTCTCACCCAGACCCATCCAGCAGCTGGAAGCCCTGAGCATGAAGCCACCAGGAGCTCCATCCCTGGGCCCCGCACAGTGTAGTGGCTCCAGCACTATCTTCTAGAGAGAGGGAGGCTAAGGCTATTGTAGAAAAGGCTGGGTTGGGCTAGACTGAGGCAGACCTGGGCTTGGGAGTGAACTCACTGTGTGGCCTTGGGCGTGTCACACCTCTTCTCTTGACCTGTGAGGACAGTAGGGATGCCCTGGGGTATGATGTAGGGGGAGCCCCTCCTTAGCCCAGTGCTAGCGGACTGGTTCCCTCCCCATTCCTCAGATGGAGCCTGGATTTGGGGGGCAAAACAGGTCTGGGTTCGAATCCCTACTGCCCTCATTTGCTGGGAGACCCTGGACAAGCTTCTTACCCTGTCTGAGCCTCTACTTCCTCACTTGTAAAATAGGATGACCCCAGCTGATGAGGTTGTGTCAAAGTGTCCGTTTCCCCCCTCTCTTCTCTGATCTTGAATATCTCCCCTTTCCCCCTCTCTGAGCTTCCCCCATCCAGCTCCTCCCCACCTTCAGCCTGCATGAGCCTGCCTCCTCCGGGGGGTTTTCCTTGATTGTTCTCTTCCCTAGTGCTCTGAATTCTGGATAACTGCCATCTGGATGCTCATTTTTGTGCATGACAGACATCTCGGACCCTTTCCCTGTGCTGGGAGGCCTTGCTGGGCCTTCCAGTTGAATGGCCCCCGGGGAAGACAGAGGGACCTGGCTAGGGGCACCTGCAGGGTCCTCATGGTAGTGCAGAAACCCCCTCGGGGCATCTGGCACACTGGTGCAGCCTATAGGAAGGCAAAGAACACTCTGATACTGGGAGCAGTTGGCCCAACCATGCCCAGCCTGTGACCCTGGACAGGTCCATTTACCTCCCTGAGACCCCATGTTGGTGTCTGTGCAGTGGAGGAGTCGCTGGGGGGGTGCCCTTCCCCCCTGCCTACCCCACAGGGCTGTTGTGGGGACCCCATGCATGGATGGATGTCACTGTCCTTTGTAAACGGTACTGCTTCGAGGGGCTGTGTGGTGTGGAACAAGCATAACATTTGAAGGCAGAACACCCAGGTCCCAGACCTCTGTTGGCTCCAGCCGTGACCTTTGCCCCTCAGGTCCTCAGTCTCCCCATCTGACAAATGGGGACAGACCAGCCTTCGGAAAGACTCAGATGTGCCAGGCCTCAGGGCACAAAGAAAATCCCAAAGGCCCGGAGCTCATCTCCCAGGATGGACAGGCAGGCAGACACAGGCCAGGCAAAGTAGAACATTCAGAGTCACAAGGTCCCCTCTGCACGGGGTCGGCAGGGAGAGCACAGGCACCGAAGCGAGAGCCTGACTGCTTCTCACTGCTGCCCTCAGAAGCCCCCCGGTCCTGGTGTGGCTGCAACGTTCACGGTGCGGGGGGGGGGGTGCAGAACCCACATTTCATGTACAGTCTCCCAGTGTTTCACTGTTAGTGAGAAATTCCCATTCTTTAAAAGCCCGTGTGGATCAAGGAGCATATGGGTGAGCCCTAGAGTACAAACTCTGAACTGGGCCTTTATTTTTTTTGAGTTTTCTGCTTTAAGATCATTTCAAACTTTCAGAAAAGTTGCAAGATGAGTGCAAAGAACACCTGAATGCCCTTCCTTCTGATTCAGCTGTTGTTACCATTTTGCCCCAATTGGGAGCTCACTGTGTCATGCAGTTGTGATGGCCCTTTGCCCCGACACTTCAGTCATATCTCCTAAGAAAAGGATTTGCTCACGTGGGACCACAGCACAGCTAGCCATTCAGGAAACTCAGTATTGATGCAATACCGTTACCAGAATGTTCTATACGTTATTCACGTCCCTCG